GATGGCCTCCACCCTAAGAGCGATGGCTTCCAACCTAAGCACGATGGCCTCCACCCTAAGCGCGATGGCCTCCTCCAACCTAAGAGCGGTGGCCTCCACCCTAAGAAAGATGGCTTCCACCCTAAGAGCGATGGCCTCCACCCTAAGAGCGAGGGCCTCCAACCTAACAAAAATGATTTCCAACCTGAGAGTGACGGCCTCCAACCTAAGAGCGATGGCTTCCAACCTAAGACCGTTGGCCTCCAACCTAAGAAAGATGGCTTCCAACCTAAGCACGATGGCCTCCACCGATGGCTTCCAACCTAAGAGCGATGGCCTCCACCCTCAGAGCGATGGCCTCCAACCTAAGAGCGATGGCCTCCAACGCTCAGAGCCATGGCTTCCAACCTAAGAGCGATGGCCTCCACCCTAAGAGCGATGGCCTCCACCCTATTAGCGATGGCTTCCACCCCAAGAGCGATGGCCTCCAACCTAAGAGCGATGGCCTCCACCCTAAGAGCGATGGCTTCCAACCTAAGACCGTTGGCCTCCAACCTAAGAAAGATGGCTTCCAACCTATAAAAACGATGGCCTCCAACCTAAGAGCGATGCCCTCCAATCTAAGAGCGATGGCCTCCAACCTAAGAGCGACGGCCTCCACCCTAAGAGAGATGGCTTCCACCCTAAGAGCGATGGCCTCCAACCTAAGAGCGATGGCTTCCAACCTAAGAGCGATGGCTTCCAACCTGAGAGCGATGGCCTCCAACGCTAAGAGCGATGGCCTCCACCCTAAGAGCGATATGGCCTCCACTCTAAAAATGATGGCCTCCAACGCCAAGAGCGATGGCTTCCAGCCTAATTAGCGATGGCCTCCAACCTAAGAAAGATGGCCTCCAACCTAAGAGCCATGGCCTCCAACCCAAGAGCGATGGCCTCCAACCCAAGAGCGATGGCCTCCAAACTGTCCCGTCTGGCACAACGTATCCAGTCTGGCAATGTGCCCGACTGGAGGGCTTTCGACTGCCAGTGCTTTGCGCATTTTGCGCCCTGCGCAATGACCTGGCCTTTCAACCTTTGCTCATCGCCTCACATATGCAGTAGACATTTGCAACTTCATTTGGCATGTTGTCGCGCTCACAGCCACCGTCACCTCATCTCTGAGGTCCTGTTCGCTGTTCGATGTGTGGATTTTACTCGGTTCGAAGTCGGAGATGCCAAGCAGCACGTCCGAGTCCGAAGATGTTCACAAGCAATCTCTCTCGAACCATGCGTGCGGTTTGTGATTGGTTGTGCGGTTTTGTGGGGTTTCCCGGGTGCTCCTACGCTACGCAGGAGCCCGTTGCAATGGATTGCGCCTCCCAGCTTCGTGCTGCGCTGGATGCTGTCGGAGCCACGTGGTGTCCGGCGCTGCACTTCACCAAGCTGGAAGAGGCCAAAGAAGCGCTGCAGTGGATCGTGGATGTGCCGTTGCGCTGCCGCACAGTGAACATGAACAACCAGCTAGGAGAGGTACAGATGAAACGATGATATTAGGCACGATTTCTGAAGGTTAACATCAAAGGGTGGGAAAGGACTATTTAGAGGCCCAGGTTGAAACCAACCTTGGTACCAAAACATGCCAAGATAGGTGAGGACTCAGTGATGACAGGTTTTTCAGCAAGGTGAACCGGTCGTTTTCAATCTTTCGCTGTTGCAGAGGTTGCTTTGGCCTTAGATGTGCTTTCAAGACTCCCAGCACACTTGACGCACAAGCTGCGCTCTTTACAGCAAGCGGTTGTTCGGTTGTTGATCTTGATTTGTCCAAAGATTCAGGTTGGCCTTCATCTCGTTGGGCGATGGTTTGTCCTTGGCACAAGGTGTCCACACATGGCTCAACGACCCGATGAGTGGTGTCGTCTCTCGACGAGCCGAGACTTGGTGCAGCTTCGAGGTGGAAGAGTTCTCGAAGAGAAACCTCAAAGACATGGCCAATGAGGCTCGTAAAAAGGACATTGTTTCTAAGACACATCATGTGCTTTCAAATTGTTTTCTATTGATGGAAGGGGTGCAGGACAAAGAGCTTTTGTGCTATTTTGATTAAATGGTGAATCCGGGTGTAACAAGGAGGCAGGTGCCTGTGACGACGGCGTACGGCGCACATGGCACGGCTTTTGCTCGGCCATCTGAAACGGTTCCCTTCGATCGGCTCCCAACTTGCAAGCTGATCCCGCTACCGCAGGTTCTCAGGCCGCAAACACTTGTTCGAGCATAGGCCACAGATAGCAAAACTACGCACTGGGCAGCGGCACCCTGCTGCACCAGCACCCAGGCTCCAAAGCACATACGACTATAGACATCTGGCAGCGTCACTTTGGAGCGAATTCCAAGAGAACTTGGTGGTCCAGGGCAAGGCAACCGTATCAAACGAAGCAACAAGTGAATGTTTCCAACACCCAACATCGTACAATAGTATGCGCGCAAACGTTACAGCCCCTACGTTTCACAGGCATCGCGGGCAAACATGCAAACAGGGCATCAACAAAGCAAAGGCGAAAGGTGCGAAAGAAACACCGCACTACTCCGAAGTTCCTCACAAGTTTAAGCAAGCAGTTTTTGGTTCACACTCACGTGTCAATGACCACGGGTAAATCAAGAGTTCCTCGAGCGTTTGCATTACACCTTCGCATGTTCCGCGTATAAGTCTACGCTTACAAAAGCATGCGCGCAAACAGTACAGCCCTTAGGTCTGACAGCCGTCGGCCAAAGCAGAGGAGAACCAGGAGATGCGAAATACAACACAGCACTATTGTGGAGTTTCTCGCATACTCAAGCAACTTTGGATTCACGACCACGGGTATACCAAATTAGATACACTGATGTTCCTCAAGCGGTGACACCGTATGACGTTGCGCGTTGTTTTTTTATGTGTACAAAACTACGCTCAAGCCTCGCAATGCCGGCGCGCAGCACCCACCGCCAGTGCCGGCACTCTATCTCCACAACGCGCACAGCACCCTGTCTCTACTACGCGCACGGCCAGCTCACGACGCCGGCACCCAGCACCAACACCACCACCGACACCCTCTCTCCACCACGCACACAATTGTTTTCTCAAAAGTTCATTCGTATTTTGAAGTAAGAACTAGGGAACAAACTCTTTTCTGGAGGTATGCCTGAAAGCCTTGGCTCAGACGACCTTCGACAAGCGCTGCCTGGTACTTCCGTCGCAGTCAGTCCCAAGCACGGTGGACGTGGTTGTGGTGGGTGCCGGGTTGCTTGGCATGCTCACGGCGCAACGGTGTACATCAGCTGGCTTCAGTGTGGCAGTGCTGGAGCAGCGTCCGGTGATTGGAGGAATTTGGTCCATGTATGCCAACAGCACCTCACAGGTGAACAGCTCAGAAGGTGGCTACTGCATTAAGGATCTTCTCCAAGAGGAGGTTTGCAGCCCTGTTTGTTTTGGTTTGGTTCCAAGTTCTTGTATAGGTTCTTCCATTGCATTCCCATACAAATGGTGGTAAGTAAGGCCTTTGTGCCAACGATCCTTTGCGCACATGATCACTCGTTTAACAAGTTGGTAAGTTTTGACATGTTTTCTGTTTATAGCCACCAACGGCATTGCTCAAGTTTGCCGCAGTCAGGAGGATGGTAGTCATGACAACCGCGACCACAGCACTGCTGCAGAAGTTCTGAAGGACTTGGCCAAGTTAGGTGACTTCGGCTGGTTGGTGTGGCCAAACTGCCACCAGCGGTGTTTGCACAGAAGTTCTCCCGCCCAGAACCTGAAGAATCACACTGTCCTATATAAGGTTGCCGCAGTTATGTGTTTTGACACACTCCACGGATTCATCAGGTCCTTTAATTCATGCTGAACACCCATAAAATGCTGATTTCAGAAAGTGGGGAACCCTGAAACGAAGGTTCACCAACCAGTAGAAAGCGACTGAAACGGTGGCGCTTGGCTGTGGCTCAGGTGATCAATTGAAACAGCACATCTTCACTTCTGTAAAGGTCATGAAGATTCTGGGCGAACAGGGCAGCTACACGGTGCTCTTCGAAAACGCCCCTAGTCACAGTCGTGATACACAAGCCGTTAGGAACTGGTTGCGAAGGAAGGATCCCAAACCATGAAATGGGAATCCTCATGCGCGGAAATCAAGCAAGTCGGTGACTATTATAGAATTCAGAACACTGTAGGGTTATCGGATATCGGTTTGCAAATTGGGCCTGAAGAAGCCATAGAAAAAACAAAGAGAAAAGCGCTACTAGCGGCTCCTGGCCGTACTACTAGGAGCAAGAACGCTACTAGGGGCTCCTGGCCGTACTACTAGGAGCAAGAACGCTACTAGGGGCTCCTGGCCGTACTACTAGGAGCAAGAACCATACTAGGGGCTCCTAGCATCGCTACTGGGAGCAAGAACCATACTAGGGGTTCCTGGCATCGCTACTAGGAGCAAGAACGCTACTAGGGGCCCCTGGCATCGC